GGCTGCAGGCTGAGCACCTCTGCAGAGCACAGTAGTTTATACTGCCCGGCCGTATTTCTGCCTTTTACCGAAAGATCTGTATACTCGCCAGTGTAGACTGAGGTTCTGAGCAGCTGCTTATTGGAGTAAGCAGAGAGATTGAAAGTGGCATGTAACCCCTCCTTCCACCTCCAACCAGAGGAGAAGTATGAGAAGGTGAAGAGGTAGAAGAGGAAACTGGCTAGGTACAGCACCCTAACATGGAGTCTGAGGTCTACAAGTTCCACAAATTCTCTCTCACAGCATGACAACATTTAGAATAATACCAGCTGTGTGTGGAGAGTCTCTATGTGTTGATTAGCATTCTGGACACTACACATAAGTGATCCCACTTAAGCCTCTGAGGAAGGAACTAGCATGCTTCCCCTATTAGAGATGAGGAAACTGAAACTGTGCCTCAAGAAAGAGCTCACCCAAGATCACGTGGACCGGAAGTGGCAGAGTTGGGGCTCAGGCCTATGTCAAGGGTCTCTTCAGCACCCGGCACTGCCCTCATCCCTAAATGATAGCAGTGACCGTGCCATGAGCAGCCCCTGCCCCCATCACCTCCTGGGGGGAGGAGTTGGAGGCTCCATATGCCTCAAGGTATTGGAGCTGAAAGAGGACTCACTTCTAGAGTGTGGTCCCGGCCCCTGGCCAGTCCCTCCCAGCGGCCATCAGCCAGCGGGAGTGGGCCACCCAGGGCCCGAGACACCTGCCAACCTAATGAGCTTCCTCCTTATGGTTGACGGTTACTTCCCTCTATTTGGGGAAAACAGATACATCTTCTCAAGAATTTACTCATTCTCGAAATGCAAATCAAAACCACAATGAGATACCATCTCACACCACTCAGAATGGCTATTATTAAAAAGTCAAAAAATAACAGATGCTGGCAAGGAGAAAAGGGAAGCTTATATGCTGCTGGTGGGAATGAAATTAGTTCAGCCATTGTAGAAAGCAGTGTGATGATTTCTCAAAGAACTTAAAACAGAATTACCATTTGACCCAGCAATCCCATTACTAGGTATACACCCAAAGGAATATAATTCATTCCATCATAAAGACACATGCATGCCTATGTTCACTGCAGCACTATTCACAATAGCAAAGACATGGAACCAACCTAAATGCCCATCATTGGTAGACTGGATAAAGAAAATGTGGTACATATACACTGTGGAATACCATGCAGCCATAAAAAAAAATGAGATCTTGTTCTTTGTAGCAACATGGATGGAGCTAGAAACCATTATCCTAAGCAACCTAAAGCAGGAACAGCAAACCAAATACCACATGGTCTCACTTACAAGTGGGAGCTAAACATTGAGTACACAAGGACACAAAGAAGGGAACAACAGACATCCAGGCTGGGTGGAGGGTGGGAGGAGGGAGAGGATGGAAAAACTACCTATGAGTACTATGCTTCTTGCCTGAGTCACAAAATAATCTGTACACCAAACCCCTGTGACATGCAATTTACCTGAAATGTAACCCCCGAACCTAAAATAAAAGTTTAAAAAGAAGGATTGATGGCTGGGCGCAGTGGCTCACGCCTGTAATCCCAGCACTTTGGGAGGCCAAGGTGGGTGGATCACCTGAGGTCAGGAGTTCGAGACCAGCCTGGCCAACATGGAGAAACCCTGTCTCTACTAAAAATATGAAAAAATGAGCTGGGTGTGGTGGAACACACCTGTAATCACAGCTACTCTGGAGGCTGAGGCAAGGAATTACTTAAACCCAGAAGGCGGAGGCTGCAGTGAGCCGAGATCGCGCCACTGCAATCCTGCCTGGGTGACAGAGTGGGACTCCGTCTCAAAAAAAAAAGAATAGAAAAGAGGCTGGGCGCGGTGGCTCAAGCCTGTAATCCCAACATTTTGGGAGGCCAAAGCGGGTGGATCACGAGGTCAGGAGATTGAGACCATCCTGGCTAACACAGTGAAACCCCGTCTCTACTAAAAATACAAAACAATTAGCCAGGCGTGGTGGTGGGCGCCTGTAGTCCCAGCTACTTGGGAGGCTGAAGCAGGAGAATGGCGTGAACCCGAGAGGCAGAGCTTACAGTGAGCAGAGACTGCGCCACTGCACTCCTGGCTGGGCGACAAGGCAAAACTCTGTCTCAAAAAAAAAAAAAAAAAAAATAGAAAATTTAAAAAGGAAGAAGGATTGATTCCTTTTCAAAATGACCTCTCTTCAAACCAGTTCAGGCACCGTGAGTTCTCTGAAGTGAGACAAAAATCCAAAGCCTCTGCCCTCCCAGGTCTTCATGGAGATGCTTCGTGCTCCTGGCGACCCTCTCCTCTCAGGGCAGATTAACCCAGGAACACAGGGGACTCACAGACAGTGGGAAATGCTGCAGACAGATAAACCACAGCATGCTGGGGCTGGCTGAGGGGAGGGCTGGAAGGGGCTCTGCATGCATGAGAATTGCAGTTCTTTATTCTTCTTAATACTTTATTCCACAGCAGCCAGAGTGCACGGGAAAAAGATAGCTGGGAAGAGAGAGAGAGAAAGACAGAGAAGATAATGGTAAGCAACAGCGGAGACATGGCCGCTATCACACCCCACCATGGCAAAGGCACCCTCTGTCGCACACCCAGCCTGCCCACTGGGCTCTGGGCTGAGAGTGTTGCCAGTATCCACATCCGCAAGAAATGGGCTCTGAGGGCCAAGGGGCACAAAGATGCCTCCCCAGTAAAGACAGTAATCTGGTCACCCTCCTCGGAAGTCACATCCAGGATGGAGCAGCTCAGCTCCTTAGCTTCCCTCTCACATGGATGAAGTTAAGGTCCTGCCTAACACCCCCAACACACACACACACACACACACAGACACACAGCAGAGCAGTATCCTGGCTTGGGTCACGGAGGGGTGCCCCTTGGTTCCCACCCCCTATGTCAGAATGAGTGATGTGCTTTCTGCCTCCACCCTCTCTCTCCTCCCCAGGAAAGAGGTTTCCAGAGCTGCTAGTTAGCCATAAAAAAAAAAAAAAAAGCAAACCTTCCACCCAGGTTCAGTCTTTTACTCGAGGATTCTGTTTCCATGGCAACCAAGCCTACAAGGCCTCAGCAGTGATCTGTTATCTGACAAGGGGAACACAGGAAAGGCTGCCCCGGGAACAGCGGAGTTAAGGCTGACTGCGCCCCGTGTGTATCAAAGGAAGGGTCTCTCCGGCTTGTGGACAAGAGACCTAATGATTCCCCCGGTGACACTCTCCAGGGAGCAAAAGCAAACACTGTCCCAGAGCTGCCTTGCCAACATTTCTGGCTCCTTTTTCTTTCCCCTCCACTTCCACCCTCCTCCTTCCCCTGCACACCCCTACAGGCCCCAACTCATGCCTTAAGGCTCTGCAGAGCCCTATAGATACACCCTAGGCTAAAGAGATGACGACCCTTGCTACCTAAAGACAATGTTTGACACAAAGCAATGAAACCATCTAAGACCTGTTTAAATGGATCTAGGCCGGTTCATTGGAATCAGTGGTTCTCAGCCAGAGCAATGTTGACTCCCTCCCCAGGGTACACTGGGCAATGTCTGGAGACGTTTTTGACTGTTAGGACTGGGGCTTAGGTGGGCAGGGAGAGGAATGGAGGTACTGACATCTCATGGGCAGAGGCCAGGGATGCTGCTAAACATTCTAAAATGCACAGGACAACTTCACCAAAGAATTATCTATCTGAGCCAGGCACAGTGGCTCACACCTGTAATCTCAGTGCTTTGGGAGGCCAAGGCAAGAGGATTGCTTGAGCCCAGGAGTTCAAGACCAGGCTGGGCAACATTAAAAGGCACTGTCTCTACAGATAATTTTAAAAACTAGCCAAGCATGGTGACATGTGCCCATGGTCCTAGCTACTTGGGCGGCTGAGGCAGGAGGATCGCCTGAGCCCAGGAGGTCAAGGGTGCAGTGAGCTGTGAGCGTGCCACAGAACTGCAGCCTGGGCAACAGAGTGAGACCCTGTCTCAAATGATAAATTAATTAAATAAATAAATAGAAAAAAAAAAAGAATTATCTGGCCCAAAATGTCAATAGGGCCATGGGTTCAACAGCTTATGAACTGTATTTCTCTTTTTTTCTTTTTTGAGACAGAGTCTCGCTCTGTCCCCCAGGCTGGAGTGCAGTGGCACAGTCTTGGCTCACTGCGAGCTCCGCCTCCCGGGGTCACACCATTCTCCTGCCTCAGCCTCCCAAGTAGCTGGGACTACAGGCACCCGCCACCACGCCCGGCTAATTTTTTGTATTTTTAGTAGAGACGGGGTTTCACCATGTTAGCCAGGCTGGTCTTGATCTCCTGACCTCGTGATCCGCCCGCCTCGGCCTCCCAAAGTGCTGGGATTACAGGCGTGAGCCACCGTGCCCGGCCTATGAACTGTATTTCTATAAATAAATAAATACTCATAGGACATTGGTTATCCATCATGAAAGATGGCCTATTTGAGGAAAGGGTATTTTTTTTTTAAATGAAACCTGCTTGGAGAATCTTTACAAAGATCCCCCTCCACTGGGATGTGAAAGCAAGTGTTAGATTCCAGGTCCTGTCACAGATTAAGGTTAAATCCAAAGCTGATTCAAGAGTTTTGAGGCTGGGGTCTACACTCTCCTTAGGATCAAGGAACTGGCTGAAAGTGTGTACAGAACGTCTGTCTGTGCATCTTTGAGTGGAATGAGCTCATAACTTTCGTCAGATTTTCAAGGGGGGAAGTGACTCAGAAAAGTTTGAAAACCAGCCATCTAGATCCCATTAGCTCTTCCCTGCACTGTACAGCCTCTGTCTCTCTTCAATCATAATTTCTCCTTACCCAGCACCCTGCCATGGTCCCACTTCTCCTCCAGCCCTGAGTCCACAGAGCCCACAGTCCTCCTCTCTTTGGCAGTCTCAAAGGGGCGATATCGTTGCCCTAACAGACATGAATAGACGTGTGGACACCTTCCCAGCCCCAGAATCCAACCTAGGCCCTACCCAAACTATGCGGCAGAGACATACCTGGTTTACCTTGACTTCATTCGGATTGGTTACTCGGTCCAGGCCGTAGTCCAGCACATTGTCCATTCCAGGCTAAATGGAATAAAAACAACATAAGGATCATTACAGGGAGTCTCTGGTTTCTGGTTAACTGTGGGTCTCAGTTAATCTGCCAATTGTGAGATCCAGCTGAGAAGAACTTGTGGCCTAGCCCACAGGAAGTTCTGAGTGGGTGTAAACCCTCCAGGTGAGCTGTTGAGCTTCATGAGGGCTGTTCTGTCTCCCAATGTCCCCAGCACCTAACATAGTGAGATGGAAGGATGGATGGAGAGAAGAATGGGTAGATGGGTGGGTAGGTGGATGGAAAAATGGACAGGTGGTTGGCATCCCCAGCACCATAGAGGGATGCATGGATGAGTGGATGGATGAACAGGTAAATGGGTGGCAGGTAGATGGTGGATGGGTGGATGAGTAAATGGATGAATGGATGGATGGATGGATGGCCAGACAGATGAATGGCATTCTCAGCACCAGAGTGGGATGGGTGGCAAGAAGGAGGGAAGGAGAGGGGGATGGGTGGATGGATGGATGGATTAATAGGTAAATGGGTGGTAGGTAGATGGTGGGTGGGTAAATAAATGGATGGATGGATGGATGGGTGGATGTACGGATGGATGGACAGACAGATGAATGGCATCCCCAGCACCATAGTGAGATGGATGAATGGAGGGATGGAAGGATGGATGGAGGATGGATGGATGGATGGGTGGATGGACAAACAAATGAATGGCATCCCCAGCACCATAGTGAGATGGATGGATGGAGGGATGGAATGGTGTATGAATGGATGGAGGGAGGGAAGGAGGGATGGATGGATGGATGGATAAATGGGTGGTAGGTGGATGGTGAGTGGATGGGTGAAGAGATGAATGGATGGACAGATGGATGGATGGATGGATGCATAGACAGACAGATGAATGGCAAACTCAGCACCATAATGGGATGGATAGACAGAGGGACAGATGCATGGATGAATGGGTAAATCGGTGGTAGATGGATGGTGAATGGATGAGTGAAGAGATGGATGGATGGATGGATGGATGGATGGATGGATGGATGGATGGATGGGTGGATGGATGTCAAACTCAGCACCATAGTGGGATGGATACATGGAGGGATGAATGGATGAAGGGAGGGAGGGATGGATGGATGGATGGATGGATGGATGGATGGATGGATGGATGGTTGAATGAGTAGATGGATGGATGAGTGAGTGGACATATGGATGGGTAACATGCAGGCTCCAGAAGAGTTCACTGAGACTAATACATGGGCCTCCTGACTCTTCCCACAGTGCTTCCCCACACTCTGTGGTTTCGTCTTGGGCTAGGTGGGAAAAGAGAAGTGACAGAGCAGTGCTTTGGGAGAGTCCAGGCTTGTCAGGCACCTCTGGGTGCCACTCCTGGTTCTGCCACTTCCCAGCTATGCAGAAGAGCTTGGAAAACACTCCTTGTCTCGGCACTCACTAACCTCTCTAAGAAACAGAGAAGCCTCCTACGTGGTAGGTTCTTGTGAAGATTTAACAAGATAGGGTGTGAAGCTCTCAACAGAAGGTAGCTATTGCTGAAGAAGGGGTTGTAGTCATTTTAAGATTATGTATGTAAAAGAACGGCCCAAAAGTGGGACTATAATCTCTGTTAGCTCCCTTTTCCAGCAGGTAACCCAACTCTCCAGAAAATCTTACTTGATCTCTCTCAACTCCTTGACTCTTTGAGGCCAATAATTTGGGTCTTTCACTTCCCTTGATGCAGGTGTGATGCCAGGCATCCACCCATTGCTCAGCCCACGTGACCAACCAGGTTGGCTACACTGAAGCAGAGAGTTTAGAAGCAACTGGGCTTTCTTGCCATCAGATTCAGCCTCATCCATGGGATCAGACTGGGTTTTAGCTCAGACATAAGACTTCCAGATAAAATGTAGGAAGTCCAGTTAATTTAAGATAAATGGCAAATAATTTCTGCCCCAATATTTTGATGCTTATTATATGTTTATACTAAATATACAAAACACATTTACGTAAAAATTATTTGTTGTTTATCTGAAATTCAAATTCAATCAAATTTCCTGTATTTTATTTGCTAGCAACCTAGCTCATTAGGCTACCATGGAGGCAAATATGTGCAGACAAGACGACACAAGGAAGAGAAAGGAGAAGGCAATAGAAAGTGGGTGGGGAGGAGGACAGGGAAAGGGAACAGCCATCCTTACCCTAGTTGTTACAAGTGGATCTTGATCAGCAAATATCTATGGGGTACTTCCTATGTGCCGGACATTGTGCTGAGCCCTGTGGAGCCCATGGTGAGTGTGCCCCGAGACCACTGCTCCCCAGCAGGCATATTGAGGCACTCCCAGTCTCAAGGGGGAGGTAGCCACTCAGCAATTAATCACACAAAGGATAAATTACAGTCGAGACAGGTGTCTTGAAGGCATAACACCATGGGATCTAACCTCACATGGCAGGGGCTCAGCAAAGTCAGTGTCTTTGCCAAAAAGGGTTCTAGGAGTTGCCCCCTGAATCTGTTATGGAGAAATCCCCCTGCATAACTGAAGACAGACTTCATACACCCACTTTGGCACGTTCACACACTCTCACACTCACACACACCCACACACTCTCATACATACATACTCATACTCACACATGCTCACATACATACATGCCCTGACACACCGGCACACTTACACACACGCATGCTCACATACATGCACATACCTACGCATATTCCCACATGTACATATGCACACCCACATATGCTGACATACATGCATGACCTGACACACATATACACACATTAATATGGTTTGACTCTGTGTCCCCACCCAAATATCATCTTGAATTGTAATCTCCATAATCCCCAGGGATTGAGGGAGAGACCTGGTGGGAGGTGATTGGATTATAGGCGTGGTATCCCCCATGCTGTTCTCATGATAGTGAGTTCTCATGAGATCTGATGGTTTTATAAGTGTCTGACAGTCCCTCTTTCACATACTCGCTCTCTCTCGCCTGCCACCATGTCAGACGTGCCTTTCCCCCTTCCACCGTGATTGTAAGTTTCCTAAGACTTCCCCAGTCATGCAGAACTGAGTCAATTAAACCTTTTTCCTTTATAAATTACCCAGTCTTGAGTATTTCTTTATAGCACTATGAGAATGAACACACAAAAACATGCTCAAATACATGCACACACGTATGCATGCTCACACATGCACACATTCACACACACTCACACATATGTGCACACTGACACATACATACATGTTTACATGCATGCACACACCTAGGCACACTCTCACACATACATATGCACACTCACACTCACATACATGCTCACTTACATGCACACATCTACACACACTCTCACACATACATACACATGCTCACATACATTCACACCTTGACACGCCAACACACAGACACACATACATCCTCACATACATGCACACATGTACACACACTCGCACGCATACATTCGCACACTCTCACTCACATACATGCCGACCCAGACACACTGACATGCACTCACACACATACACACACACACAGCCTGTGCCCATGACGCCCTACAACCACTGTCTGGCTGCTCCTCCACAGGTGCTCACTGCCTCAGTGACTTCAATGTGGTCACCTGCTCAAGTCTTGAATTCGTTATCTAGTTCTTTCCTTCCAACGTGCCCCAGGCTCTGACATAAATTTGGTTGCCCCAGTGCTCAACAGTGCACTGCATAACTGAGATAGACTCCTCTGTGCCCTCAGCTGCCCAGACCAGATGGCCTTAGACTCTCAGATCCGCAGCCACCCACTGAGCTTCATGATTCTGCCAGTCTGTCCAGTTCTAGCCCCAACCTGGCTCTCCACGCCTCCCCTACAGAACAGCCAGGCACAGTCCTCTGGCCGCTGCTGCCTTGGCTCTTGAGCCTCTGTGGGCAGCAGCCCTTGAGTCTCAGTCGTTCCCAATCAAGCCGTGGTCCTTTTCCAGTTCCCTGCCCTTGAAACTCATGAGGGCGCTGCCTTTCTGCCTCTGCTGGTTTCAGAGACCCCCAGGCTCCTTTCATTCATCCATTTCTTCATTCATCAGGTAGTGTAAAGTCTTTGATCCACTGTGATCATCACCAGAGCACTGCTGACGCAGTTTCTGGCACATAACAGGGTGTTCAGATGAAGATAACCAGGACTGACTGTTAGCACCCAGGAAGTAAGGGCAGCCAATGCATCCTGCGGTGTGCTGCCCGCAGATAAGGAGGCAGCAGGCGCTTTCTGCCCTGGTGCCTCACACAGGAAGCCTTCAGAGACCTGCAAGCTCCCCTCCTTCATCCTGAGGAACTGTGAACACCAGGGTGTGACCCTGCCACCGCCAACAACATCCCTTGGGTGTAAGCCGAAGAGGCAATTTGCTCAATGCCTCATCGTTCAGGTCAGGAAAGGAGCTCCTGTACTCGTGACAACTGCTGGTGAGGAGGCGACGTTCCCAGGAACCCACATACAGAGGAGGGCCAGCGTGGGAGCTGATGGTCACTTCTCGGTGGCACTCCACCGTGTCCCCCCGCCCCTCCTTCTCTCAGCTTCACTCTCTTCCCAAAAGTATCAGACTCTTCTGATGCATGGAATAGAAAACAAATAATAAATAAAACACTAACTCGTTTTCTAAACAAAATAAGACAGGGGAAAGAAATAGAGATGAGGCCAGGCGTGGTAGCTCATGCCTGTAATCCCAGCACTTTGAAAGCCTGAGGCAGATAGATCATGAGGTCAGGAGTTCGAGACCAACCTGGCCAACATAGTGAAAAACTGATCTCTACTAAAGTTACAAAAACTTAGCCAGGCAAGGTGGCAGACACCTGTAATTCCAGCTACTTGGGAGGCTGAGGCAGGAGAATCGCTTGAACCTGGGAGGCAGAGGTTGCAGTGAACTGAGATCACACCATTGCACTCCAGCCTGGGCAACAGGGCGAGACTCTGTCTCAAAAAAAAAAAAAGAAAGAAAGAAAGAAAGAGAGTTGAGGTGAAACAGGGAGACAATTTTACATTGCAGCGTTAGGAAAGTCAGCTCCTAGAGGATCTTGGCTTGAATGTCACTCTCCACATCCTGTGTTCCATGTTCCCTGACCACCAACTGGACACAGGGTCCCTGCCTCCTACCAGCTGCTGTGGTATTCTGCAGGTTACTCATTCATTGGTTTAATTATTTTAGTCTTTGTCTCTCTACCAGACTACAGGAAACTCCTTGGGGTCACGGGCATTGTCTGTCTGTCTTGGCTCATAATCCAAATATCCCCATTGCCTAGTAAGCGCCCGGCATAGAGCAGATATTCACAAAATATACGTTAACTTTTTTTTTTTTTTTCTGGACCACAGCACATGGAGCATTCCACCCACCCTGGTTTTATAATATATTATGTGTCAGGCCGCCACAGTGCCTCACGCCTGGAATCCTAGTACTTTGGGAGGCCAAGATGGATTCAGGAGTTCGAGCCCAGCCTGGCCAACATGGTGAAACCCCGTCTCTACTAAAAATACAAAAATTAGCCAGGTGTGGTGGCAGGTACCTATAATTCCAGCTACTCAGGAGGCTGATTCAGGAGAGTTTCTTGAACCCAAGAGGCAGAGGTTGCAGTGAGCCGAGACCATGCCACTGCACCCCAGAGTGAGACTCTGTCTCAAAAACAAGCAAAAAACAACAAACAAACAAAAAACACATTATATGTCAGATCATTTTCCTAGGTCAATGAATGGCCTTTGAAAATATTATTTGAAGCTTCACAATGTTCCATCATGTTAATGTACCTCAATTTATTTTGCCATTTTCCATGGTTGGACATTTAGCCCAACCTCAATGGGAAATGGAGGGCAGACATCTCTGGCAAGTGTCTGCATATGTGGTTGAAACAAGGGTCATTTAGCTTGATATGCAGATAAGGGATCACTTGATTTAGCACACCCACCGCCAGGAAGCAGCCTCAGACTACATCCTTGGGAGGCAGGAAGTCACAGATGGCACAGCAAAGATGCAGGGAAGGCCTCCACATGACTGTCTAAGGGAGCACTTTCTCCCTTTGTTCATTTACAAAACTTACTGTTGTTTGCATCGTGCTCAGATCTGTACTTGGTACCATTTGGGTAAAAAACGGGTAAGGAACATCATTTTCCTTCATTACAGGATGCTGAATCACAGGTGTCATTTGGGCTCTGGGTAGGAATTCAGGTCAGAGCCCTCAACTACCACCACCCACGTGGGGTCTTGGCCTTTGCCAGTGATGATCTCCTTGATACAGCATCTATCAGACATTTCTCCCTGCCTTTCTAAATCAACCACCCTCTCGCTGTGCCCCTTCTGCATTTAGGTCTTATCTCTGGGAGAGTGTTACTCACCTGTGCTCCAGCAATTTGGATTTTGAGCTCCTTGAGCTGAGAGAGGGACCACGGGTGGGGCCTCCTTGCACAGAAGTAGCACATCAGGCTTTGCCATCAGAAAGGTGTGGCTTCCTCTCCCAGAACTGAGCAGGCAACTGAACTTCAATGAACCTCAATTTCTCCATCTGAATAATGGGGATGGTGATATTCCCTACATCATAGCATTGGACGTCAATGAGGTCATCTGTGCCAAGAGCTTAATACAGGCACAGAAGAGCACTCAATGACTCTTGACTGTTATTTCACACCCAGCACCTAACCCCTTCCCTGGGACAAAGTCAAGGCTCAATGAAGGTTTCATGGATCAGTGAACAGACAAATGAACAAGTGAATGAGTAGGTTCAGTAATGGCAGGCCGCATCTCACTCTACAACTGTTGATTACAGTCTGACACGGAGTGGCCATGACACTCCACAGCGCCAAGTACTTTGTTTGCCTTGGCTGGCTTTTTTTCCCATTGAACTGACGGTTTGTTTGGGTCTCCTGGAAACAGTCTGGCAGTCTGTGAGCTCCGGGGCTTCCTAAGCCTGTCAGTAAAATCGCTCAATTTCTAGACTGAGATGCTCTTCAAAAACGCTACCTTCCACCCCCTCAGGCCAACAGGCCAACAAGAGATGGGGACAATTTTAAGAAAATCGCAGAGAGTGGGGCCACTGCACTCTCCTGCCTCATCTTTGACTACTGGTCTGGTTTTCGCTTAGGGAGCAGTCATGAAAGAGGTTAGATGTGTGGAGCAGTTTTATGTCCTGGAAGTTCTAGGACCACTCTGAGTCCATCAAAGCCTCAAGCTGAACTTGGGTCCCCAGTGCTGTCAAAGAGGGACCAGGCACGTGTGGACCTAGGCATTCAGCTTCTTAGAGCAGCAGTGACCCAGGCAACGTTCTAATGACCCAGGAGGTTACCAAAGGACTGAACTGCACCAAGACATCCCATGACATTGCCTGAGAGGCAGAAGTGCATAGGGCTAAGTCAGTGCAGGGGTTCCACAGTCAGCGGTATGTAGGTTCAGACCCTCTGGCACTTACTAGCTGTGTAACTTCCGGCAAATTAGTAACATCCTTGAGCTTTCACTTGCTTATCAGTAAAATGAGAATAATGATAAGCCCTTCCATACAGCGCTGCAAAGGTTCAATAAGAATGCAAAAGGTAGCCGGGCGCGGTGGCTCACGCCTGCAATCCCAGCACTTTAGGAGGCCGAGGCGGGCGGATCACGAGGTGAGGAGTTCGAGACCAGCCTGACCAACATGGTGAAACCCCATCTCTACTAAAAATACCAAAATTAGCTGGGCATGGTGGTGCGCGCCTGTAATCCTAGCTACTCAGGAGGCTGAGGCAGTAGAATCGCTTGAACCCGGGAGGTGGAAGTTGCAGCAAGCCGAGATCGTGCCACTGCACTCCAGTCTTGGCGACAGAGCAAGGCTCCATCTCAAAAAAAAAAAAAAGAATGCAGAAGGCTTAGCACAGTGCTCAGCACACTGGGAGTTCTCAGTTCACACCTACTGTGATGGTGATGGTGACAATGACCACAATGACGATGACAATAAGGGTGGTGGAGGTGGTGGTGAAAGTGGGAAGTGGGGGAAATAAGAGATGTGGTAGAGGTCAGGGAGATAAGGGAGGTGAGGGAGTGGGAGGTGGGATGACGGTCATGGTGGCGGAGATGGGCGGTGGGGAGGTGGTGGTCATAGAGACACGTTGTCATATTTATGTGATTCTGCATCATGCTGTGAAGAGCCACTCAGCCACTAGCCTGGTGAGGGGTGAGATCTTACCCCAGGAGAACTGAGAAGAACCTGGCTGATCAGTTTTTCATTTTACTGCATAGCTATGTCATAGTCCATGTCACTTTGCAAGGAATGTAGTCACATTGGCAATCCCACAGTGACGAGTCTCTGCATATAATATAGAAGCCATTCTTTACCTTGAAAGAACCAGAGTTCCCTCAGGCATGGTGCCACTGGGCACCAAGGTGTCTTGCCAAATGTGGCATATCCACCACGTCTCCTTATCCTCACCACAGAGTGCTTCTGGAACACACGAGCAATGTGAGGCTCCTTCTCATACAAAGAGCTTCTATGCTACCAACCAGAAGGGGTGCTTGTCTCCAGGACCCTGTTCTCTGTCACCCAGCCCCCAGATACTTGTGTCAAACATCTGTAAACTGGTTTCCCTAGAGGAGAAACCCTGAAGCCAAGAAAAAATCCAACAAGCTGCTTGGGGATCAACCTCAGAACCTCAACCTCAGCAACACAGCATCCAAAGCCATGCCCCTATAGGGTGGAACACCTTAGGAGAATCTGTTTTGAGTATATAAATAAAATAAGCAAAACAACCAAAATCAGATGGGCTTGAAGTTCAAAAATCCATAAACTCTGACACCAGGCCTCACTCAGTTCTCTTTCTGGTTCTGAGAATGTCTGATACCTGGCAGGCAAGGAAGCTAAAGGAAGAGGAGGAAGAACATTTCTTTTTAACTCTTTGGTTTCCGGAATCTCATTCACATCTCCTGCCTCCCCTGACCCACAGGCAGCACAGGGGGCTGAGACAGGAGGAAACTGAGGCAGCAGAGTTCATCCCAGTATGTGGCAGTCAGAGCCCACTTCCGTGTGCTGCAGGATGAGGCTACCATTTCCCAGTGATGATCTGGGGCAAGTTACACCAGCTCTGTACAGCTTGTCTCTCTAGGCCACTGAAAGTCCCAAAGTCAGAGATTCAGTGTGCTGCAAGCAAGAAGCAGCTCGACACAGACGTATTCTTTCTCCTCCTCCCATCTCAGCTGCTGGGAACTGGATCTAGGAAAGCAAAAGGCGAGGGAGCAGGAGACACCAAGGAGAACTTTGGCCATGCAGTTTCCATTCTCACGGGACTCTATTTTTCTGCATTGGAGCCTCCATTGGGGCCTACATTCTAATTTTTTCTCCTTATATTCCTTTCCCAAGGTATGATATCCTAGCAAAAAAAAAAAAAAAAAAAAGTCCCAGCCCCCATAAAAGACAAATTCATTCAGGTCCCTCCCTACCTAACACCAACACATGGGCCATGAGCAGACCCCATCCAGACAGAGAACTTCCTTTTCTGGTCAAGAGGCCCTGGGATGCTAACCCGACACTGAGCAGCTCCTCCTGCTGATCCAATTCTCACCCTGGAGAAAGAGGACTTGGAAACAGGCATGGAGAGCACAGGATGGAGGTGGGTGGCACAGGAGGAGACAGAGGACACCAGGCAGGAGGATACTCACCGGGCATCGGTGCACCAGCCAGTATGCCTTCTCCTGGCAGTCCAGGGCATATCTGTCTGCTTTGTTCCTCTCCTTTCCAGCCCTGAAAAGCCAAAAGCCACATTTAAGGCCAGGAAGACTTTGTATCTTTTGCTTAGTGATGCCGCGGATTCCTGATGACCTAGACCCCTCTCCCAACCTGCCCAAGTAATTCATGTATACTGTAATAGTAATGAACACAGCAAGCACTGACATCACACTTAAGTACTAGCACTCTTCTAACCACTTTGACACATATTAACTCTTTTAATCCCACTTAATCCTCCCAGTGGCCTTTTCTCACTTCAAAGTTCAGGGCACTGAAACAAAGAGGGGGTGAATGCCCCACCAGCCCACCAGGGTCACACTGCCACAACTGGCAGAAGTGGCACTTGCACGTGGGAGTATGGCCAGGGTCTAACTCCCCTGGACAGCACAGTGCTGCACTGAGATCACACTGCCGCCACGAGCCCTAAATCAAACCAACTCCACCAACGTCAACATTGGAGCACAGTGCACACGGGTGACCCTCTGGCATTTGACCTCCTGGCTTCTTAACTTTTCCCTGTTTGGGTGAACAACATAGTCAGCATCTGGACATCCCACCTGTGGGATGGTGACAAGGAAGATGCTGGCCTGGGGAGTCCTCTCTCCTCCCTGCCTGTGACTTCTACTCTGCCGCTGCAAAGAGTTCATGCCATATCAGGGGTTTTTCTGAGCACACCTTATTGCTATAAAAGGCTATTTATGGCCCAGAGCTGTGGCTCATGCCTGTAATCACAGCACTTTCAGAGGCCGAGGCGGGCAGATCACTTGAGGTCAGGAGTTCGAGACCAGCCTGACCAACATGGTGAAACCCTGTCTCTACTGAAAATACAAAAACATGCCGGGCATGGTGGCATGCACCTGTAATCCCAGCTACTCAGGAGGCTGAGGCAGGAGAATCATTTGAACCTGGGAGGCAGAGGTTGCAATGAGCCAAGATTGTACCACTGCACTCCAGCCTCGGCGACAAGAGCAAAACTCTGTCTCAAAAAAAAAAAAAAAAAAAGCTGTTTATTTTCCTTTTTATCTCTCAGTCTCTCTCCCTTTCCCACTCTGGATGGGAAATGATGCAGGGCCTTCTTCCTCCAGGGGCAAAGTAACACTAATGATCCTGCCGTGGGCCCCCTTCTGTACCATTTCCACGGCGACCCGTGCTCACACTTGTTAATGCTTGTTTTCCCAGGCAACGTGGGATGACGCACATGCCCTCTGCTAGACAGAGTCGGCGGATTCATCTCCCCATTAACATACTGTGAAAAACATCATAACACTCAGGGAGCCAGATGCGTGAACAGCGCCATTTCATTTGGGCGTTCTGTCAGGCTCCTCTGGAAATTAAATATAAACACTGTCTTCAAACTTCCCCTTGACAGCCTAACTGGATTTTCTACCAGGTTAACTAGCCCCTGACCTCAGGAGCATGGGCCACAACTGGCCTGAGGCATTACAGAGTTTCCACAATGCTGGAAAGCTTGGCAAATAGAGTCACTCTCTGATTTACCCCATGGGTCCTTTCCGACTTTGCTCTTCTGCTTTTCTGTGACAGATGTTATTAGAGGAGAGTTGTGATAAACAGAATGCAAGAGAGTTAGTAACCTAGGAATTACTTTCGTTTGTCATATTGTGATTTTTTTCAGCAACAGCATCTGCTTAATTATTCATTCATTCGTTCGTTCGTTCATTCACGTATTCATTGATCTTCCCCTAAGTTCCAAGCATGGGGCGTCTACTGGTGAACCAAACATAGTCCCTGCCCTTGAGTAGCTTTTGAACTAAACATCACATACACAGTCAAAGAATCAATACAGAATTGCAAATTGCATTATATGCCATAAGGAAACATTCAGGGTACCATCATGGAACATCAGGGATGGCCTCTGTGGTGATTTTTAAATATGTCTATAATTCTTTGACACTCTTTCCATTGACAGATGTGGGTCTATGTCTCCTCCCCTTGAAGCCAGGTGGGATTTTGTGGTGGTTTCTGCCAACATGGGATGTCAGGCATGGCACTGTAATTTCTGAGGCTGGGACATAAAAGGTGGGACAGCTGTCACCCTCCTTACTAGAATATGTGGTCTTGAAGTCCCCAAACACCTGTAAGCTACCTAACAACCCTCCCTGATGCAGCCATGTTGTGAGGGAGCTCAAGCTAGATCACAAAGAGATGCTACAAGAAGAGAGCAGGAAATGCCAGCCAGCCCCCAGTTGCTCCAGGACGCCAGCTCCAGCCATCTGCCAGCAACCACTCAAGAGACTCTGAGTCAGAATTGATCAGCCAAGACATTCCCATATCCCTAACCTATAGAAATCAGGACACATAATAAAATAATTGTTGTTTTGAGCCACTGACTTTAGGATGATCTGAATGCAGCTAATCAGAAAAGCCTCTTTGTGGAAGTTACATTGGAAGTGAGTGTTCTCCCTGATAGCTAGAGAAGATGGAATGAGGTGATCTTATTTGTTTCAAACACGGGGGCAAATTGGGAGCAGAGAGGCCAGTCGGGAGGATGTTGCCATGGTTCAGGTGATGGTGAGGTTGGTTCAACCAGGGTAGGGGCAGTAGAGGTCCTGATATGGGTGATACTGGAGGAAGAGGTTTGGAGAGTGAGGGAAAGACATATTCGAATATGGACAAGGTAAGTCTGAGGTTTAATAGCAATGTGAGATCTTGAGTAAGTAGCTGGATGCTGAGTGTGGAACTTGGAAGATGGGACTCAGCATAACAAAATGACTACTTCATGGGCCAAGCTATACAGTCAACCTCGTTTTGTGCTGAGACCCTAAATCTGAAATCAGAGGAGCCTTTAAGCCATAAAATTAGCAGGAAAAAGCCATCTCAAGTGGAGCAAGCCTTTCAGGAATCGCTCATTCCAAGGCACCTGGAAGAATGGAAGAGGGGAATGTCCCAGGATCTGGGCAGCACAGAGCTTTATCCCAGCTGAGGCCAAGGCCTTGGTGGTGGACCTGCAGGGATCACTGAGAACAGCTCTGAGCTGCAAGAGCACCCAGAGTGCCCAGGAAAGCAGATATCAGGGTTCACAGTCCTGTGGGTTGCTGGGATCGTCCTGCTCAGAGCAGACAGGAGGAGGAGGGGATGGACGGGCTGAGGGAGAGGGGCACATCTTACCCATCTCTGTGTCCCTGGAGCCCAGCCTAGTGCTGGAACCCATCAGAAACTCAAAACTGGTGCAACAAATGGAATTAAGTAATATCAGCCCAAGTTCTACCATTATCTCAGCAAGTGACCTCAGCTAAGTAATTTTCACCTCCCTAAGCCTCAGTTTCCCCATTTGTAGAAATGCAGGGTGACAATAATTACTATGGTATTTCCCCACACCAACATAAAGTGAGACAGTACCCAAAAACTCACCACATGAAGCTTTATGAACAAATGTAAGTGATTAAAGATAAGCCATGTTGTTTCGCCTCAAACGTGCCCAGGTAAAAACATGTTTGTGGCTAACAAGTAGTGGCGGCTCTCTCACTGATGTTCTACCTGGTTCTAAACCCTAAGAACATAATTTCCACCATGCAGGGCAATAAAGCTATTCTGCTATAAGAATCTATTTTTCCCGGACCAGCTGTCCCGTAAATAGTGTTCATCACTATTCCAATACCTAGGCTGCTGGGTGAGAATCAGGTCTTCCCCATCCAGCCCAGCTAAGCACCAGCAAGTCTAGACCTTCCTGGATCCAGGACTGTCACAGTGAGTGAGGTCGGACCGGGGGATCATCGCTTTTGGTAATCACCGGTGCGGGTCACCAGATGTTCCCAGCTGTCCCTCTTCTCAGGCACCTGGTAGGATTCTATGTCCCCACCCACCAACCTTTGAAGTTGACCTGCTTTGCCTTGTGACTCATGAGCAGGATGACAGTGCTGCTCTGATACACACAGGAAATCCCTGTCCCTGCTAAGCAACGCACAAAGCCCAGATGGTGCTGCTTCTTCTGCATGGGACCTGGAGGTGGGGAAAGCATGTCAGGGTCCCAGCTGCCCCACAGTGGATGGGGAGCACCAGCAAGAAATGGACCTTATGGTTTCCAGCCCCTGAGAGTCGGGGGCTGTTTGTTATGATAGTCTAACCTTGTCATGACAGACACCCTCTCCCTACCACTCCCTGTCCCCAATATCTGCATCCGGCTCTCGTTAAGGCAGAGCCCTGGAGGGGACTTCCAGTTCCAGTTCTGATATGGCAACAGGCAAATGCAAGTGAGCGAGGCGTGGTTCTGACACGCAAATCTGATCACTGTGTCTCCCTCCCCTGCTTAAACATCATTCTATGGCTCCCTGTGGCCCTCAGCACAAAGCCCTCTCACGATCCGCTCTTGCTAACATCTCTAGTTCACATCCTGCTAACTTCTGCCAGTTCCACACTTTGCACTCTCAGATGCACCTGCAAGGAACTGCTTGCAGTGGGCACACTCCTGCCTCCAGGCTCTGGTTCTGCCTGCTGGGAGCCCCTTCCTACCACCACACCTCTCCTCTTCCTCTACAACTGCCATCCTTCACCTGGACCCCTCCTATGCATTCCCCGGGTTCAATGTCATTTCTACGACTCCTTCTGAAAACAGCCAGGTGGTCCTCATCTCGCAGCAGCACCATAGCCTATTCCTTCATCTGCCTGACCTGTGAGACTGTGTCTTTTTATTCCCCCTGCCCAGCCCAGTGTTAGGCACACAAATGCTCAAAAACAAGTTTATTTTAATAAAAGGAAAGAGTCCAGGTGCAGCGGTTCACGCCTGTAATCCCAGCACTTCGGGAGTCTGAGGCAGGCCGATCATGAGGTCAGGACTTCGAGACCAGCCTAGCCAACGTGGTGAAACCCCATCTCTACTAAAAATACAAATAATAATAATAATAATAAACAAAAATTAGCTGGGCATGGTGGTGGGCGCCTGTAATCTCAGCTACTTGGGAGGCAAGGGAGAAGAACCACTTGAACCCAGGAGATGGAGGTTGCAGTGAGCCAAGATCACGCCACTGCACTCTAGGCTGGGCAACAGAGCAAGATTCTGTCTCAAAAAATAAATAAATAAAAAATAAAATAAAATAAATAAAAAGAAACAAATAAGGAAGAGAGGGAGGAAAGACACCAAGAGGACAAGCATGGTCTCCTTTCACTCACCTGTACTGCTCTTTGGCCTGCATAATGACAAAGTCCCACTTATAGTTCATTTTTTGGTTCAAGAAATTGTAATTTTCCTGGAGAAGAAAAACAAAATGAGAACAGTAAGCCCCAAGACATATGCCATGTGCCACAGGGCAACAAACTCTAAGTTAACCAAGGGCACACCCCTGGCTCATGGCAACCATGGACCCAGCCTGATGGTGTCTGAGCTGGTTTTACCCCGGTGTTCACTCAAAGAGCAGCTGAATTCTCAAAACGCTTTCATAAGAAGCCTCACTTTTATTGCTCTTTTTTGCTTTTGTAAAAATAAATGTATCCCGGCCGGGCGCGGTGGCTCACGCCTGTAATCCCAGCACTTTGGGAGGCCAAGGTAGGCAGATCACAAGGTCAGGAGATTGAGACCAACCTGGCTAACATGGTGAAACCCGGTCTCTACTAAAAAGAATACAAAAAATTATCCGGGCGTAGTGGCGGGCACCTGTAGTCCCAGCTACTCGGGAGGCTGAGGCAGGAGAATGGCGTGAACCAGGGAGGCAGAGCTTGCAGTGAGCCGAGATCGCGCCACTGGACTCCAGCCTGGGGGACAGAGCGAGACTCTGTCTCAAATAAATAAATAAATAAATATATCCCAAATCTGATTAGGAAGAAAGAATCAAAGAAGAAAAAGAATTTGAAAATCTTTTTTTTTTTTTTTCTGAGACAGGGTCTCACTCTGTTGCCCAGGCTGGAGTACAGTGACACAATCATAGCTCACTGCAACCTCAAAGTGCTGGGCTCAAGCCATTCTCCTGCCTCAGTAGCTAGGACTACCTGTACATGCAACCACACCTGGCTAATTTTTTAACCTTTCGTAGAGATAGGGTCTCACTATGTTGCCAGGCTGGTCTTGAACTCCTGGCCTCAAGTGATCCTCCCATCTTGGCCTCCCAAAATGCTGGGATTACAGGCGTGAGCCACCGCACCTAACCTGGAAACTCACTATTCAGCAACAGAGCATCACAAATTCACAAAAATAAACCCTAAGATAAACCAAAGATAAGCCAGCCTTTCTGAAAACATGCCTGTAAGAATAAAAACACATGGCCTAACATGGTGGCTCACTCCTGTAATCCCAGCACTTTGGGAGGCTGAGGTAGGCGGATCACTTGAGCCCAGGAATTTGAGACTAGCCTGGGCCCCCTGTCTCTACAAAAAAATACGAAAATTAGCTGGGTGTGGCGGTGTGCCCCTGTAGTCCCAGCTGCTACGGAGGCTGAGGCTTGAGCCCAGGAGACAGAAGTTGCAGTGAGCCGAGACTGCACCACTGCACTACAGCCTGGGTTATGGAGCAAGATGTTGTCACAAAAATAAATAAATAAACAAATAAGTAAAAGAACACAGCAAGATTTTCACCCTCTGCCCAGAAATTCTAGCCTTTTGAGGGCTAGCATATGTTCTTTGGGAAATTGGACTCACCCAGCCTAAAACAAAAGTCTATACAGTACAACAGTCTATACAGATTGTTTTCCCATCATAAATTGAAGTTCGGGCCAGGCACGATGGCTCACGCCTGTAATCCCAGCACTTTGAGAGGCTGAGGCAGGCAGATCACTTGAGGTCAGAAGTTCGAGACTAGCCTGGCCAACATGGTGAAACCACATCTCTATTAAAAATACAAAAATTAGCCAGGCATGGTGGCACATGCCTGTAATCCCAGCTACTCGGGAGGCTAAGGCAGGAGAATCGCTTGAACCCGGGAGGTGGAAGTTGCAGTGAGCTGAGATCATGCCACTGTACTTTAGCCTGGGCAACAGAGCAAGACTTTGTCTTTAAAAAAAAAAAAAAAAAAAAAAATTCAAGTTCAAATCTGTTAACCCAGGGTTGTCCATTAGAGTACATATTAATTATGTCACATTGTTTTGGGATGGCAAAAGGAAGGGGGGAGCCACCGTGTGCCCAGTAGCCACTGAGGCAAGGGTTTAAATTACAGCAAGAGAAACTAAAGTTAGACATGGGAAAGAATTTACTTCAGTTAGCTGCTTCTAATTAGTAAAAGGATGGCTAGCTGGCTGGCTGGATGGATCATGAGGGCGCATATGAATGTAGTGATGTGAGAATGAGGAAAGTACAGCTCAAAACTATATTCCACTCAATTATAATAACCTCTACTTAAAAGCACCTCCATACCTTTTCATATTCTTCCAAAATTCCTTTCTTCTTGATATTTCGCTTGGCCAGATAGATGGCTGGAAAAGAAAGCAATGACATTTTCCATCATCATCTTTCAGAACCCCATCTGCAGCCTCCCTAAGCCTGAGGCTGCTGTGCTCAGAGTGGGGGAGAGAACGCTCAGCACACCCAGTCCCTTGCCCCTGGGGACATGCCCAGTGCAGATGCGGACTGACATAAAGGTCGTGATGACAGCAAGACAAATGTCACCAAAATGCTGCAAGTAAATAAGCAGCATGTTAAGCACTACCAAAGGCATAGCTGGGACTGAAGTATTTACCGTAATCGGTATCTTCAGCTGGCCACTGCTGGGTGGGCCAGAAATACGGTGTCTGCAAAAGAAACCAGGGAAACCACACTTTAAAACTGGATTGTGACTCAATGGACCCCAACCCTGTGACTAAAGAAATCGAACCACCTTAGCCCCCTCCACCGTTTCTGAAGTCCTGATCTGTGAAACTATGAACCCGACCTTTACAAATGAGATCTTTTCAAATGAGATCAACCCTATATGAACAGCCAAGGTCAAGGCCAAGACTCACCTGAAATCGGTAGAGGCTGCCATCAGGCTTGAGAACGAGATTCTTGGGGTCTTGCAGGGGGTAAATGTAGCCATACCTGACAATAAAGTTGCCCAAGTTCTGTGCCTCTGGGAAAAGCAGTTCAGACACGGATGTTAAGAGCAGGGCTGAGACAGGAGCTCATTGCCGGCCTCCACGGCACCCCAAACTCCAGGACAGGTACCCCCTCCTAGCAGCACTGCATCTCATGAGCAGTGAGGACACTGGTTCCTGAACTTGGCTGTGGACAAGCATCAGCTGGGTTGCACGCTAAAAGGAGGACCTCCCAGGTCCTATCCTAAGGAATGACAACTCAGTAAGTCTGGACGGGAACTAGGAAACCTGGATGTTAACAGAACCCACAGGTGGTCTGCTGCAGCGGGTGATGGTTAAGGAAGGCCTAGAAAAGCCTCTGTAGGCCCATTGGGTCTGGGAAAGGTCACAGGACTGGGAAGAAAATGTCTCTGTTGGACCAACGGACACTTTGTCACTCAAAGAATGAGCGAGGAGCACCATGTTTATTGCCAACTTCTATCCCAAGCTCACCTCTACCTGATCCCAGGTCCTCTCCTTCCCATTTCACTTTAATTCCTACCCTGCTCCAGTTTATTTGGAAGCACAGCCTTGTTTATCAATTATATCAATTAAAGGACAAACTTCTTTGGTTCTTTCTCCAAAGCACCAATGAAAGCAGATGTCTTTCCATCCTCTGGAGGGGATTCCATCCCTCCATTCCTGCAGGAACCCCCAGCCAAGGACTCAACCCATCTCCCCATCCCATAGCTCAGCCTCCAAGGTGTGGGAAGACCTCCTCCCCAACCCTCCCTCTCCAGGTCTCGCTCCCTCCGTCAAAGACCGAGTCCTAAAGTTGTATGCCTCATTGTACCAACAGCCTATTTTCTAGTGTGAAATCCCCTCCGGTTTCTTTCTGCTCCAATCCATCTTCTAAATTGCTGCCAGGCACCCTAGTTGAAATACGAGTATCATGCACACTGCCATGCTGGAAAATTGTCTGTGGCTACCTATTGCCTATCTCCCAGATCTTCAGGTGCTCTTCCACCCCTCTGCCACCCTCCATAGCCATCTGGAGCCATGACTCTCAATCTCTCTTGTCGCGCCTCCACTTTCCGCTCGTTCCATTTCTACACCATTGTTCTTGCTAGTGTCCCTTTATAGGAAGACCCTCAGAGCTCCTCTTCACCACTTCACAAGCATCACTTCTTTCAAGACCAGCTACACACAGCACCCCCTCCAGGACTTTCTTGACTGAGTCCTCCCCACTTATCCCTGTTATTTATGCTCTAAATATTTGGTATAAAATAACTCTTTTGTCCCCAAATTATCCTGCCTTTGCTTTTGATTCTGGCAGTTTTACACTCAAAGGTCATGACCCTCCAATTAAAATGCAAATTTCTCAGAAACACAGGCTAAGTCTCTATTTAGTTTCTCCCATGGTGCTGTACACACAGCTGTCCTGGATAACTGACTGCCAGATGAGCTCTCACCCAGATTGGAGATCCAAAGCCGCTGGACGATCCATTGCAGAACATCACTTCCTGCAAAACAGAGACGTTTGCGGTTATCGTCATAGCCTCCTGACATATCCCTGCTCCTCCACGCTGTTGCCTGACCGGTCTCCTTCCTGTTCAGCTGCAATTTCATTCCTCTTTGCTCAGAACCTTCAGAAACCCCCACCCCATCATGTTCAGTCCCAACTCTGCAGCCTGTAATTCAAGGCTATCCATGATCTCACTCCAGCAGATGTGCAACTTAACACCGCACCGCCTGGCCCGGCCCCCACCCACACACACTTCATCTTTATCGTCTCTTATCGTATTGACCTTTTACTTGACAGTAACTTGTGCATGGACTATTATTCACTAACTAGATAGTAAATAGACTAAGTCTAAATACACACACACACACACATACACACACATACACACACAAAGCAGACCCGAGGCAAGTCGTTTGCAGGGCTCTGGACCAAGCTAGGACTCATGGGAGTAAAACAGACCCAGGGATGGGAAGAGGACAGGCTGGGGGCTGGGGCTGGCTCTCCATCTCCCCAAGTTCCCAGGCAGAACTCCGATGAGTCAGAAAATTCTAAACTTGAACCTGGCCTTCCATGACGTTGTGAAGGTACTTTTGTCAGGGTAGGAAGATGGGACCTATCCTAGTTGATTTATAACTTTAGATGACGGAATGAAGGCTCCATGTGTACCCTCGCCCCAGGCCTGGCATATCTTAGGGGCTGGCTTGGGAACAACACACACACGCCAAAAAAAAAAAGAACGTGAAAAACTGGCATGAAAAACAGCAGGAGATGCAGGCTTGGAGGCCAGGAGAGAATGTCAGCAGGAGATACAGGCTTGGAGGCAGGAGAGAATGTGCACCCGTGCACCTGTCCCACCCACCCACTCCCCTCAAGGATTCAGATCTGTCTAAGGGTCAAAGCAAGCCAAGTTCCATCAACAAGCCCAGAGGTGCCATACACCCCCACAGAAGCTCTGAGCCCCTTTCCTCAGCCTGGGCCCTCTGGCCTCACAAGCAGAAGGTACGCCTTCTAGGCACAAGGTAAGAGCATCTCAGAAGATAGACAAGGTGCCCTGGAACGAAGCACCCCATCACAGAGGCCGTCATGCAGACGCCAGTGGTCACATTTCCAGCAATCTTAGCCTGCTTTCCAAAGGCTAAGCTGGAAACCTGTCTGCATGGGAACAGGCCCACAAAACACACCAAAGAAGAGGGCCAGGATTGAGACCCCACTGCCTGTGTTTTTATGTCTGGATAATTGCCAATGATACTTCCCTCTTCGGAGGTGGTGCAGGGACATTTCTTCTTATGACCCACATACACACTCTCTGGGCATAATTGCCTGCCTATGATCATGAGTGGGTATAGACAACCTGCAGTTCTTCCCTTCATGCCCACACACTAGGACAAAAATGTCCAGCCATGATCTCTGTCAGTGTCCGCATGCACACCATCGTGGCTTTCCATGGTTCTACTTCTGTTGTTCTTAGCATCATTCACTCCTGGTTGGCTGTTCAAAAGCAAAATCCTTCATCTAAACTCCTACTTAAAATACTAGGACTAGGTGTTTAGACTTTCCACACCAAGTCTCTCTCTTTAAATGCTACACAGTGTTGCGCAGGCAGAGAGACAGATCCAGGCAGACATCAGACTGATTAGCTCTCTCCACCGAGGAGCTGAGGGCTTTCTCATCCACTTGACTGCCTCCCGAAATAGATCAAATGAGATTATGGTGCCACCAGCCTCTGTACCACACAGTCTGTGCTGACAGCATGGCAGACTGCTCAGGCTCCCCCATCAGTCACCTTTGTCCCGAGGAAGCCCTGGGACGCCTGCCGTCCAAGAAGTTAAATAATTTTTTATCGGTGCTGATGTTGCAGGACCAGGGCTTCTCCCTGTGTTGTTTCTACAGCAGCTGGAATTCACCTGTGCAGGAGGAACAAGGAAAAACATGGCAGGATGGGCAACCTTGCCCAAATCCAGGAACCAAGTGTGCCCCGTGCACAAGGAAGGAAAGCAGCTGGTGCACACTGACAGTGGATAAGAATATGGACTCTGGGCTGGGCGTGGTGGCTCATGCCTGTAATCCCAGCGCTTTGGGAGGTCAAAGCGGGCAGATCACCTGAGGTCAGGAGTTCGAGATCAGCCTGACCAACATAGTGAAACCCCATCTCTACTAAAAATACAAAAATTAGCTGGGTGTGGTGGTGGGCGCCTATAATCCTAGCTACTTCAGAGCTGGGGCACGAGAATCGCTAGAACCCAGGAGTCAGAAGCTGCAATGAGCCAAGATAGCACCACTGCACTCCAGCCTGAGCAACAGAGCAAGAGCCTGTCTCAAACAAAATAAATAAATAAAAGTAAAAATTAAAAATAAATAAACAAATATATACATATATATGGACTCTGGAGTCACATTGCTGGGCTGAAATTCAAGCTCACTCATGAAATGAGCTTAAGGACATGAAGGCAAGTTGCTGAAACTCTTTGGTCTCCACAGCCCCATGTGCAAAAAGTGGGCAGTCATATCTACCCTTAACTTTATTGTGGGTGTTAACAGACAACGCATGGGCAAGCACTAGCTACCACCACCATCCAGCACCCACTGCCCACCCAGCACCTGCACATCAGTCTCTCACTTCCTTCCTGCACTCGTTCCCTTAGGGAGGGATTGCTATTCTTGCATTAAAAATGAGAAAACTGGCCAGCTGTGGAGACTTGAGCTGGCAATCCCAGCACTTTGGAAAACCGAGGCAGGAGGATCACTTGAGCCCAGCAGGTCAAGCCTGCAGTGAGCCACAATTGCATTACTGCACTCCAGCCTGGAAGGCAGCATGAGACCCTGTCTCAAAACAAACAAACAAACAAACAAAACAATGGAGAGAGTAAACTGAGACCAGGGCTATAGCTAGAAAAGACACCTGAAGGATTTAATCCTGCACTCTCCACACAATGACAGACAAGAAGTGACTCACGCATTCGATAAACTTTTACTAACCATCTGTTACAAACACAGCTCTGCTAAGCATTGGGGTTACCCAGATGAGCAAGACAAGATACTTTCCCTCGAAGGGCCCCAGTCCAGTGGAGAATTCAGGCCAAAATTAATGACAATCAGAGGCAGGGAGGGGGACAGGGTCAGGGATGCCTTCAGGAAGAATTGTCCCAGCTGCATGTGAGGTGATGGGGGATGCAAAGGCACCCTGAAAAGTCTGCCCACTGTTTCCACTCTGTGGGTGCCCAGAGCTACTCTGGTTCTTAGCCTTTCCAAAGTCTGGCTTGTCAATGTTTCCTTTCCCTCCATGAGCTGCTCTATAGCGTTTCAATTAATTCCCCTTTTGCTCCAACAAAAGAATGGGTCTTCTGTTGCTTGCACGCAGGGAAACCTGAGTGACACATTGCTGGTGGGGGCATCCTTTCTTCTAAGCAGTCAGAAAGGGAAAGGGGAGGCTGTGAGCCAGCTTGTCTCTGCAAAGACTAGGGCACCTTGAGTGAAAAAAAAAATAGTCAAGTCAGGGGTGGCATAGAGGGAGGCACAGCAGTGGTGAGACCCTGGCTTGGGCTATGAGAAGCCGTCTGCTTCTGCAGGCAATACACCTAAGTATGAAACATTGTCTTTACTGCAAAACCAAGATCAGAAAACAGGTAACACATTAACCAAAATGCTCTCCTCGTTTGGTGTCCAGCCCCTCTTGCCAATATCCCCAAATGATGCTCTGCAGGCATGTCACCCCCCCCCCCCCCCACACACACACACACAGAGAGGAGACAGTGGCATCACCCCGAAAGGGCAGTTGAGAAGGGCCTGAAATGAATTAGAAGGTAGAAGGTGGAGCAAAACAAAGGCCAACTTTTTTCTGCTAAATAGTATTTTTTTTTTTTCTGCTACTTGGTTTCATTAAAACAAAGCAAACAAAACAACAAACAAAAAATGACAGTGAAGGTTTCTAAAATGAACTTCTGGGAGGAATGGCTTCAGGAAATGACCTGCTGAGTCCTTTTCTCCCTCCTGACCCCTTCCTCAGAGGAAGACTTTAGTCCAGGAGTCAGCAAATGTACTCTGCAGAGCGCTAGATAGTAAATAAACATTTCAGCTTTGTGGGAGTCTTGTTCTGTCATCCAGGCTGGAGTGCAGTGGTGCGATCTTGGCTCACTGCAACCTCCGCCTCCCAGGTTCAAGCGATTCTCATGCCTCAGCCTCCCAAGTAGCTGGGATGACAGGCATGCACCACCACACCTGGCTAATTTCTGTATTTTTAGTAGAGATGGGGTTTCCCCATATTGGTCAGGCTGGTCTCGAACTCCTGACCTCAGGTGATCCACCTGCCTTGGCCTCCCAAAGTGCTGGGATTATAGATGTGGGCCACTGTGCCTGTCCACAACTATATATTTTAACTCTGCCATTGTAGTGTAAGAGCAGCCATAGATAATATGTAAATGAGTGAACATGGATATGTTCCAATAAAACTTTATTTAGAAATAAAGTTTTTTACAAATACAGGAGGTGGGCCGTATTGGGCCTCTGGGGTCTATTCCAGGCCAAGGCTAAAGTGCAAGCTACATCACCTGTCATGGCATGAGGAACGCTGGTGACCAGGACCCTCTGGTTCTGCATTCGGACCCCTGTCTCTGGGTTCTGCATGTCCTTCACGAGCGCTTCAATCTGTAAGACAGAAGGGGAAAAAGCCGACTGATGAGAACAATTTTGAAAGTTGTGCAGGGCCATTTCCACTGCACTGAGAGGGATCTCAAAACGCAAAGGCAGACACCGGGGTTCCCCATCTGGTACAGGAGCCAGGTGGGCACTGAGTGACTCTAATGCAGCCAGGACTAAGGTGTGCTCCACAGCCACAGATCCCATCCCTGCGTGTGAAGACTCGCACATTCATCCTGACTGGGAGATTCTGGGGTGGCTTTAAGGAAAGATGGAGCTTAACGAGAAAGGATTTTGCTGGGCCGGGCGCAGTGGCTCACGCCTGTAATCCCAGCACTTTGGGAGGCCAAGGCGGGCGGATCACGAGGTCAGGAGATCGAGACCATCCTGGCTAACATGGTGAAACCCTGTCTCTACCAAAAAAGACAAAAAAATTAGCCAGACGTGGTGGCGGGCACCTGTAGTCCCAGCTACTCTGGAGGCTGAGGCAGGAGAATGGCGTGAACCCGGGAGGCGGAGCTTGCAGTGAGCCGAGATCGTGCCACTGCACTCCAGCCTGGGCAACAAAGCAAGACTCTGTCTCAAAAAAAAAAAAAAAAAAAGAAAGGATTTTGCTGGACAGAAAGTGATAGAACACCATGGGCAAAGGCGTGGAAGGATGACAGCTCCCAGGGTTAGTGGAACAGAAAACAGCAGGAGTTGCGGCTGGAATAGCCAGTAGAGGCCAGATCACATGGACCTCAAAGCCACCCCTGCAGTGTGGATTTTGTTCCAGTGACTGTTCCTGGAGAGCATTTTGGAAACGTGGCCCATGACAGAGAGAAGAACATGAAGTAAGAAGTACGAAGAAGTTTGCAGAGGTAGAGAAAAGTGCAGTGACCTCTTCAAAGCTATTGCATACAGCCCAGGTAAGAAACAACAGTGACCAGGCACAGTGGCTCACGCCTGTAATCCCAAATTCTGGGAGGCAGAGGTGGGAGGATCGCTTGAGTCCAGGAGTTTCTGACCTGCCCGGGCAACATAGTGAGGTCTTGCCTCTACAAAAAACTTAAAAATTATCTGGGCATGGTGGCACATGCCTGTAGTTCCCAGCTACTTGGGAGACTGAGGCAGGAGGATCACTTGAGCCCAGGAATTCCAGGCTACAGTGAGCTATGATCGCACCACTGCACTCAGCCTGGGTGACAGAGCCACACCCTGTCTCTTTTTACAAAAAGAAAAGAAATGACAGCGCTTCAACCCTTAGCACTCCCACTCTTCGTACTCTCAGCAGAGCAGGCAGATGGGCTTTCCATTATTTTAGAATATGTCACTCTTCTGCGTGACTGTTCCACTGCAAGGGCCACTCGACACCGAGTAAATGATAAAGTTTCCCTACTGGTCTACATATTCGGGACCTCCTTCCTCTCTGACTTCTTTCCTACCACTCCCCACCAGTTCCCTCTGATCCAGCCACACTGGCCACCTTCCTTCCCCCAGTCATAACAAGGACACTCCTGGCCAGCCTTGGGTGGGTCCCATGCTCTGGCTGTTCCCTCTACCTGGGCCAGTCTTCCCAAGAGACCAATTTGGCTCCCTCCTCACCTCCTTCCCCTTCTGACGGTCTCAGGAGGCCCACCCTGACCATTCCTAACGCTGCAACCCTGAACTCCACCCTTGGCATTCCTGACCCCCTGCTCCATTTCTCAAGAGCATGCGTGTTCTTCAAACATACAAAATAATTGACCTAGTTATTACATTGTTGATGGTGCATCTCCCTTTGCTCCTGGAAAGTAAGCTCTTCCTAGGGGTCTTTGTCTGTTGTTGTTTGCGGCCGGATGTCAAGTGTCAGGAAGCGTGCCTGGCACAGAGGTAGTACCCAGTAAGCAGGTGATGTGTGAATTAATAAATAAATGAGGCAGTGGCCAGGAAGATGGTAAGGAGGCATGACTTTCAGAGCCCTAGAAGAGCAAAAATAAACTGTATTTGCAAGTGACTGAGTGGTTCACTGAGGGCGACACAGAATAATGCCAAGGTTTGGAACTTATGCGACCAGAGTTACCAGTGACCAAACTAGAAAATGCAAAAGAAGAAGCCACTTCTGAAAGCAAAGGCATCTGCCTTGGCAGGTCGACTGCAAGTGGCTGCTGAGATTCCCACAACGTCTGGGAGGTGATTGGAAACGACTGCCCCGGGTTCAGAAGAGACAGGGTCAGAGGCATGAATTAGAGCCATGAATGTCAGGGACAGTTGAAGCTAAAGAGAATCAAGAAACTGTCCGAGGAAGCCTGAACTGCAGGAAGGCAGCCACAACGACAGCCCTGACCATCTTTAGAGTTGTTTTTATTCATTTTTATTACTAAAAATTATTTCCCACTTGAAAAAATCAGGCCGGGCGCGGTGGCTCAAGCCTGTAATCCCAGCACTTTGGGAGGCCGAGACGGGCGGATCACGAGGTCAGGAGATCGAGACCATCCTGGCTAACATGGTGAAACCCCCGTCTCTACTAAAAAAAAAAAATACAAAAAAAATTAGCCGGGCGAGGTGGCGGGCGCCTGTACTCCCAGCTACTCGGGAGGCTGAGGCAGGAGAATGGCGTGAACCCGGGAGGCGGGGCTTGCAGTGAGCTGAGATCCGGCCATTGCACTCCAGCCTGGGCAACAGAGCTAGACTCCGTCTCAAAAAAAAAAAAAAAAGAAAAAATCAAATGGAAATAATATCAACTGAAGGATTTATTTTTATTTTATTTTTTGAGGCAGGTCTCCCTCTGTCGCCCAGGCTGGAGCACAGTGGCACGAACTTGGCTCACTGAAACTGTCACTTCCTGGGCTCAAGCAACTGTCTTGCCTCAGTCTCCCGAGTGGCTGGGATTACAGATACATGGCACCACGCCCGGCCAATTTTTGTATTTTTAGTAGAGACGGGGCTTCGCCATGTTGGCCAGGCTGGTCTTGAACTCCTGACCTCAAGTGATCCACCCGCCTCAGCCTCCCAAAGCGCTGAGATTATAGTCGTGAGCCACCTCATCCAGCCTGAAGGATTTTTTTTTAAAACAAACTGGATGTTTGACACTAGTCAACAAAGATGACTAGAGAAAACCCAGGTGTTTCTCTTGTTATTCGGTGTTTGCTACTGACCCTGACAAAGCTTCATGTGCAGAGGTTTCAAACTTCATGTTCCCCTAGAAAAGCCCTCACTAACGGGAAAGCTGCCTACTCCCCATGTCCCAGATGTACTTGCCAATGGTCAGTTGGTCATTCGACATCCAGGCACAGTCATGATGGACTCTGGGAAACCAGAGAGAAGCAGCTGTGGTCTCTGAGCCCAAAGATCTCACTGACCAGTGCAAGCATATTCCAGGATAATGCACAATGTGCAATGACAAGGGTGAGTCTATGGTGTCATGTGAACACAGCAGTGCCTAGGGCTGGGCAGGAGGGAAGGACTCCTCCTAGATTGATTTTTATTTCTTTTTTTTTTAGACTGAGTCTTGCTCTGTTGCTCAGGCTGGAGTACAGTGGCGCGATCTCAGCTCACTGCAGTCTCCACCTTCTGAGTTCAAGCGATTCTCTTGCCTCAGCCTCTCGAGTAGCTGGGATTACAGGTGCCCACCATCACGCCCAGCTAATTTTTGTATTTTTAGTAGAAACAGGGTTTTACCATGTTGGCCAGGCTGGTCTCAAACTCCTGATCTCAAATGATCCACCCACTTCGGCCTCCCAAAGTACCGGGAGTACAGTCATGAGCCACTGCGCCCAGCTTCCTAGGTTGAATTTTACAAAGTTTAGCAAGTATTAGGAAGCAGAAAGAGAAAAGGAGCATGGGTGAGGGTGTTCCAGGCGGAAGGGCCACAGGAGCAGAAGCACAGAACGTGAACCAGCAGCGGGGAACAAAGCCCTTTCCTGCCTTCACGCCCAGGGCTCTCTCCTGAGGTCTAGGCTGCTGCGTGCAGCTGGACATCCACGTGGAAGGCTGCTCTCACACCCAGTCTGTCCACATTCCCACCATTACCCGAAGTAAAACATTTCATCCATTTACCTGTTTCCCCTCTCCCCTCCATTTAGCCACCTCGCTTACACCATCATCAGTCTCTTGGCATTGAATTAAACAACATCTCCCAACACTGGCTCATTAAAATTTACAAAATCCTTTTGTGATCTGAAGGTACTTGCTTGCGGTCCAAAGAAAAAGCACTCAGGCTCCGTGGGATTTCCCTTCTCTCTTTACTGTAGGATCTTGGGCAACTCACTTAACCTGTCTGAATCTCCTTTCTCTGCCATAACATGGGCACCATGATAGTATGTGGACTACTAAATGATTCTATAATACCTTAGAATTTAATTAATTTGTGGCTTTATAATCCCTTAGAATTATGTAAAATGCTCTATAAGGAGAGATACATGTTATGTATGCATAATGGTATATGCTGTGTCAGGAGAGACGTATGTTCATTGCTATGGTTCGAATTACTAATATTAGTAGCATTCATACTAATACATTTTGAAACTTTGCATGCAGGGTTGTGTTTAGGTGCCCAGGAATAGAAACCCAGGTCAACAAAGCAAATAAGTATAGGTATTTATGGAGCATGTATTAAGAACCCTGTACTGCAAGGATACAAGGTAAAAGACATATACCCAGTCTTCAGAGAGTTGAGCAGACAGTTACATGAAAATAAAAAGTTAACTAATATGAAAGCTAGGAGTCTGAATGCAGAGAAAGCTCAGTTCACATCTCTGCTCCAATTTAGAAGCTAGAGGCTTTAGGTAAATTGCTAAATTTCACTAGGACTCATTTATCTGTAAAACAGAGCTTACAATAGTATCAGGCCCGGTGTGATGGCTCATGCCTGTAATCTCAGCATTTTGGGAGGCCAAGGTGGGTGGATCACTTGAGGTCAGGAGTCCAAGACCAGCCTGGTCAACATGGTGAAACACCATATCTGACAAAAATACAAAAATTACCCAGGTGTGGTGGCAGGTGCCTATAGTCCCAGCCACTTGGGAGGCTGAGGTGGGAGAATCCCTTGA